TTTGATGAGATTTGATATGATTTAGATTAGATTTGAGTTTGAATATTTTGGGCATTTTATGTTTTGGACTTTTGTAAACCTAAAACTATAAATAAGTGTCTTGTTTTGTAATAAAAAATAGAACAGATTTCACAGTTGCATAGTTTAGCAAGTTAAAGTTCAATAGTAATCAAAAATCCCACAATTTGTGGGTAACACAATTTTCTCCAAATATTTCTTCTCTCATTCTTCTCTTTCTTGCTGTTTGTTTGTTATTCTTCTTTTCTTTTGCTATTCTTGATAACTCTTTATTTGTTATCACCATTACTATCATATTATGGGTTTGTTCATCAATCTTGAGATCAAGATTGAAGGGAATTCTACATAGGGTGTGAGGTTAATTTTCAACATTTATATGTTTTGTAGAATTTCTTTATATGGAAGATGGTGCTAGCTGCTCAACTTCTTCAACCTCTGTTGCATTTAAAGACGACTTAACGATATTATTGATTAAGTTTTCCCTTTTCAAAGCATTAATTATTCAAAGTTGAACAATTCAGAGTTGGATCTTGTGCATTTATTTATCCTGATGCAGATTAAGATTTCAATTCGATTTTGTGGTTATGTGCAAACTTTTCTTGATGCAGATTTTATCCTGTTGGTGTTTGTTTCGCCGCTTTTAGTTTTCGATTCATTTTCATGGCTGACAATGTAACGCGATGCTTGTGTTATCTTCGATTACTATTGTTGGATTTTCATTGAAAGTCGTTGGTTTTCTGTGCTGATTCACAGGTTTGGTTGTTAAATTCACATTGTTGAGGGCGTGCGTGTTCTGTTTTACGTTTAGATTGTCATTTGCTTTGATGTATTTCTTTGAATGTGTTGATGTTGGTTGAATGTGTTCTTATGTTTATGGTGTGTTTCAATTTTGATTTGCATCATTGTGATATTAGTGTTTGGTTTTGGATAAGCTTTGTGGTAATGATGAGTGCCATGGTGGCATGGTGTTGTTGTATCTTTTGGTGTGTATCTGCAGCTTTTCCTCTGCTGCTGTTGTTCAAAAAAATTCCTTTTCAAGCTAGAAATGATAGTGTATGGTAGGATGAATATGCCTTGTTCAATACAAGAATTCATATAGATATATCATGATCTAGTATCTTGATACATAATCTAGATGTCTTTCATGAAGAGGTTATGGCGATTTCTCCTTTAGCTATGCATTATATCATATTTGTAATTAGAGAATTAAAGAGATCCATGAATTGCTTTGGTGATTTTACTAATGACTTCTTTTATGTGTTTCTAGTTCAGCATAACAAAAATATAGTGTTATATGATATTTTAACTTGGTTAGGTTTCTTAATTCACCTTCATTGATCTTCCACTTTATTTATTTTATTTACTTTATTTGTAGATGTGATGGATGATGCAAAGAGATGTTGGAAACTTAGAAGATGTAAAGAGATGTTGGAACTTAGATGATGCAAAGAGATTTTGGAAGCTTGGATAGTTTTCTGGATGAGTTATTTATTTTATGAACAATTATGATTTATAGGGACATGCTTCATACTTATTTTATTGTGATCCTTTTTATGAACACATCATATTTAATGGTATTGTTTTTAATCGAGATATTATTTGTGGAGACATACTTTGGTATCCATTTTATGTAACACTAAATTTATAAAATTAATTTTTTAAAAAAATTGATTTTAAAATTAATTTTTTTAAAGAAAATAAAAAAATTGATTTTGAGAGATACCAGTTTAAAATTGATTTTAGAAAAAACTGGTTTTTTTGTGAGAAACCGGTTTGGAATTGAATCGATCCATTTATAAACCGATTTTAAAAAAATAATTTGGTTTTATAGAAACGGTTTTAAGATCCAAACCAAACTATATATATATATATATATATATATATATATATATATATATATATATATATATATATATATATATATATATATATATATATATATATATAGTTTAATTTAGTTTGATTTATGATGCATGGATTTGGATAATGTGGAATGGGCGTAATGAAAAAGTGTTTAGATATAGGCTTTGATCGGCAGAGCGGCTGAGCGATAAAATCAAAATTGTATTGTGGAATTGACTAAAGTATCAATTGAAAGGTTTCAACTAATCCCTTAATTAATGGATAATCAATTTGTTGGCTTGCCTTGGAATCAGAGATTGATTGGTCGTTGTATCAATAACAGGACATGTTGTATCAATAACAGGACATTTATAGGAGGATCATTGATGACTTTATCAAGTCAGCAAGGGTGACATCTCTTTTGTTTCATCTCGCTGATTCTAAACTGTTTATGTGATTTGGAATTCTATTTTCTATTTTGGATTGGTTTTATCTGCGTCTAGCTCGGGAGCGGGAGTTATTGTTCAATTCGGTTGTGTGTGATATTTGTGTTGTTTACTTCTTTCAATTCAATTTGGTTTTGATTAGGTTAACATCGCTAGAGGTATGCAAAATATTCAGTTATGAGATCTAAATCTATAATCAAAATCTAAATTCATTTAAAATATCCGGATATAATATATGATTATTAATCCGTTTAATTGTTAATAGTTGGTTATCCAACCATATTTTATTTTTGGATCCTGTTATAATTCGGTTATTATCCAAAATCCAAATGCTTCAATTCAATTATAAAAAATTTTATTTTCGAATAAAAATTTAAATTTTTTTTAAAAAATATTATTTTTTAAAAAATAAAATTATGAAAAAATAAATTAATTTTTGTGAAAAAGATTTATATTTTACGAAAAAAATTAATGTTTTTGCAAAAAAAAATTAATACGCCACCGCTAAAACCTCTAAAACATATAAATTTGATCAATGCATCAAAACTATTATAATTAAAAATGAGAATATTTCACATACAATTTTCTTCCACTACAATCAAACCCAGCAACTTCTCTTTTATCATCATTAACTTCCCACTTCAAAACAATATATGCTAACCTGAAACAATTCCTACTTCAAAATAATTCTAATTACAACTCTACATATTTTTTCCATTCAAGAAGCATAGAAAATTTGGGGGAAGTTAGAAGAAAACATAGTATATATAAGAGTTGAATTTATAATTTATTTTTTGTCTCTATTATGGAATATGGTGATAAAAAGAATTCCATACACTTCTATGTTCCTTGCATCAGAGTTTTAAGTATTTTATTTAGTGTGTTTTGTTCCGAGAGATTAAAAATAAAAAAAAAAAAGTTACAAAGCTTAGTTATAGTGAGAGAAAATTGTGTGTGAAATTTTTTTAACCATTTTAAAAATTAACTAAATTTTTGGGAATAAATTTAATAACCGGCTTAAAATCGATTATATAATCATAATCAATTTTATAATTAGTTTTGATTGAAATGTAGTTATGGTTATAAATTCAAACCATTTAACTGATTTAAAAATGATTATAGATTAGTTTATAAAAATAACCAACCATGCACGTCGTTAAGCATCGTCAAAACTTGTAGTTTATTATTTCAATTATTGCGGAGCTGCTAGGATAATTCTGTGGGACATTGCACGTCTTATAAAAATTGTTTCGGATGTTGACATTTTTTTGCAAGTTTTCCTTTGGGCTTTTGAGGTGTTGGAAATTGGCGGTGTGAAGTTTTTTGAATTGGAGTGAATCTGCTATCTGTTTTATTTAGGTGTGTCCTTTTTATTTTCTTCTACCTTGGTGATTTTTTTCTTTGCATCTGCTTTGCTACTTCTTGTATTGGTAGTTTTTTCTTTTTTTGTCTTTTGATGACACTTCTTCTTGTACTAGTTTGGACTGTTAGTGCCTATTAGACTTGGCATGGCTTACGCCTTGTATTTCTTCTTCAATTTAATCATTTTAGCCTTTTCAAAAAAAAATGATGGATAGTGGGAATGAGGACCAGCTCATAGCTATTCCGTCTCATTGACAAAAATCATGTGTTAAATTTAAAATATCTCTAGAATAGTAATGGAGCCACCTGAAAATGATTGCAACATAATGTTTTCACATTCATTCATGGACTTTTCTAAGTTGTTGTCTTACTATTATTTTCTCATGTTCATACATACACACAAACATATAATAATGTGTGTATGATTATGATTCCCTTGATTGACAACGTTTTAGAACTTGACCTCTTAATCATGGTAAACAACTACGCAACTCTTGAAAGCAAATTATTGACTATAATCTCTCCCACTTGACCATAATATTTAGCGTACAATATTGACTAATCAAAGAGTCACAAACCCCATGATACTCAATCACAACACACATATGTAACCCTCTTTTGTTTCAATAAAACAAGTAATCCTCTAGCACATGCACTATCAAAAAATGTACATAGGTAATGGGTGTATCCATCTCTTTGTTTCTTTTGGGAGAATATTCTTGACTAAAGAGATAAAATAAAACAACCCATAAGAATAAAGTACAAAGTAATATAAAACATTCTACCCAAAAAAAAGTGAAAGAGAGTAAGACAAAATCAAAAGGATAAAAAAAGAACATAATAATACAAAAATATTTAAGAAAGAAAAAGAAAGTGAGTAAAATGATGCAAGCCCCACTTAGAAGAGACAAGTAATAATAAGTGGGGAATCTCTACTCTTTGCATGCTCACCAAAAAAAATACACTACACTTTTCAAGCTTTTCACTTCTAGTTCCTACCCACTTCATTTTGTCCACTTTTTCACATTTTTCTGTTTTTCCTAAACTTTTTTGTTATATACATTGCAATCATAATCATCATAAATGTTTTACAAAACCAAAACAAAAAACATGGTCCAAAACAAAACCAATCATACATGCATGTTTGTTTGAATCCACGGTGAGATGGTTAGAATCACTTTGATATTGAATAACTTAAACAAAAAAACTAAACTCTGAACAATCTTACCGCAGATTCAAACATACACTTGTACCTCGAGTCGAGTTGAGTCAGCACGAGCCTTGACTCAAAATTTAAAACAAAATAATAAATGAGTCAACATATGAGTCAACTCAGTCAAGTCTAGCTCTAGGATGAATATCTTTGAGAAGCCCCAAAACTTGCTGCATTGTAGGCCTCTTCCCCGGCGACTCAGCAGTACATAGATACGCAACTCGGAGACTCTCCACCATTTGACTCTCTGAGTCACCACCACCGAGTTTAATCCTATCATCAAGTGCCCTTACTCCATGCCCCTCTCTTACGAGCTTCCTCACCCAAACAACTGTCTCCGCCGTACCAGGCTTCCCCGTTAGAAGCTCCATAAGCACCACACCGAAGCAATAAACATCCGTTTCAGTGCTGCAATTTGGAGGACATTGTTGTCCGAATTTCCTAAACCCGAAATCGGCTATTCGTGGCTCAAAGTCATCGGCGAGGAGCACGTTCGACGTTACCAAATGGCCGTGGACGACAGGCTTTGATCCTGCATGGTGGAGGAAAGCTAGACCACGCGCGACACCTATAGCGATACGGTGTCGCGTTGGCCACCCCATTTTCTCCGGTGACGGAGTTCGCGAACCTAAGCCGTTTTGAATCTCCCATGTGTCAGTGCTCCAATCCTCCACATTAGTCTCTCCCGTCGGTAATTCCTGTAGCCACCGGCCTAAATCTCCGTTTGACATAAACTCATACAAAACTAGCTTTTCCTTCCCTGAAATTTCGATTACATAATAATAAAAATCAAAATTTTATAATAACAATTATAATAATTCACCTAAATAAATGTAGAACAATAACATTAACAATCTCCTATTACATTCACCATATAAATAAAAAACCCTACTATTTTGTAATTCATTTGAACAAACATTACATGTTACATTTTGTTTGTTTCTTTATTTTTGGTTCAAATTACATTTTTATCTATATAGCTTGAAACATAACGTTACACATGATTAACTTTTACCCAAAAATAACACACGTGCAAAAATATATAAGTTGAAAAGAAACATAACTTTTACTAGTATGCTACTATTATTTTAGTTATATACAATATAGTATAGTACTACTACTACTATGTAGTAAGCTAAGAAAAATATTATGTAATTAACTCACTATTATAAGGTAAGAAAAATATTATGTAGTTAACTCACTATTATAAAACCATTTATCTTAAAAATAAACTTTCTACTGTCTAAAATGTTTATACACCACCTACTGATTCAATTTCAAATTAATTGTCGGCATTAGGAAGTACTAGTACTTTCTAAAAAAACAAATTTGTTTTATTTTTATTTTACTATATAAATTTTCAAATAGTACTAGTATTTTATAAAAAAACAGAAAACTGAAAAGTACTTGCATAAATTTCCAAACGTAATCATAACATAACTAGTGCTAGATTTAGAAGAGAAAATGATTTCACATTACAAAAAATAAAACCCGTGAAAGTCATTTAATGAGAGTAGCTTAATCCAAAAGGACACTGTAATAAAAAAATCAGAAAAATTTGGAACCATTTGAAAGAAAAAACAATGAAAAAACCAGAGAGAAGAATAGTACTACCTGCAATACAGTAACCAGAGAGAGGCAAAAGATTGGGATGTTTGATCTGAGACAAGTCAACGAAAGTTGCAACAGAGTCATCATGATCAACGTCTCTCGCATTTTCAAGAACCTTGATTGCCACGTGTATGTCACCAGGTAAAACCGCACGGTAAACGGGCCCACATCTACCTTCAGCAAGCTGTGAATCTTTTCCGAAGTATGACGTGGCAGTCATGAGATCAACGAAAGTGATGTTCATCAATGGTTTCTCAAACATTACTACTGCTGCAGAAGATGGCTCTTTCAGATCAGCCACCCATGATGTTCCGGATTCGGTTTCGAATTCGAACGGTCCTGATTTGAGGGTTGTTGTTAATCCTATCACTGGTTTTGATATTGAGATTGCCCATTTGTTCTTTTTTGCTTGTTGTTTTTTCTTTCTGTAACCGAAGATTGCTAATATGGATAATACGACAAGAATGAATGTTGAAACTGAGGAGACTGCTACGATGATGATCATGGTTTTTGATTTTGACTTTGACTTGTGTTTGTGTTTTTGTTTGGTTTTTTTCACGTGGAGTTGTTGTTGTTGTGGTTGTTGGCGGTGGTGGTCGTGGTGTGATAGGTTTGATTTTGAATGAATGTTTGGTGTTTTGGATGCGTTGAGGTTGTTGTTGGAATCGAAATTGTTACCTGCGTGAATGAACGATGCTTTTCCGAATCTTTTGATTAGTTTGTATAATGGAGATGAAGATTTGAAGTTGTTGTTTGAGATGTTGAGGAATTTAAGGTTGTTGAGAGGTGGAAAGTCAGAAGGGAAAGTGCCGTTTAAGGTATTGTTCGAGAGGTTTAAGAAAGAGAGTGAAGTGAGATGAGAAATGGGTTTTATGTTTCCTTTGATGTTACAGTTTGAGAGATCGAGGTGGTTAAGTTTCGTGAGATTTTGAAGTCCTGAAGGTAAAGTGTTGAGGTTGTTGTTGGAAAGGTCGAGGATTTTAAGGTTTTGAAAAGACGAAAGATGAACCTGGTTTGTGAATCTGTTGTTTGAGAGATTGAGATTTTGTAGTGATGATGAAAAGGGTTTCATTTCGAATGCAATGCTTCCACCGAATCTGTTGTTGGAGAGATTCACTGTCGATAAACTAGATGAAGTGGTTTTCCAGAACCAGTTTGGGACTTGACCTTGTAGATAATTTTCGGAGAGATCGAGAATCTCTAAGTTTGTCATGTTTCTTAGGTATCTCCATGAGATGTTTCCGGTTAGGTTTTTGGATGGAAGGTTTATGATGTTAATCACATTCTCACTCTCACCGTTTGAACAGATGAATAAGCCTCTTGTTTGGAAGAATGAAGAGTTGAATCCAGAGACAGATTGGAAAGCCTTTGATATAAGATTCTGGTTTTCAATGTTGCATGAAGATGATGATGATTCTGTAAGAGTAATAAACAATAGGAGATTCATCATGAACATGTAAAAGAGTTTCATTTTTTTCTTGTTCTTAGATGCACAATCTTAATCTCAATCTCTCATGTGGTGTTGTTTGTTGATATAGTTGTTAACAGATTTGAATGAAGAAAAGACAGAGTGAAAAGAGACAGAGTTGGTGGTGTTGTTGTATTGTTTTTGTGTTGGTTTTAGTGGGACTGTTTGCGGTTAATAGAAGTGAAGTGGGAAGGAACGGCGTTATGTGTTTTTATTAACGGAGGAGTTAACGGCACGTGTGGAGGATGGTTATGACTTATGTATGTGTATGGTGAGTGAGAATTAATGGGAGTTGTACAATGGGCGTTGACTGCATGAACATCATCATAAACATGAACATTTAAAAACCTATAGTTGAATAGTACTAGTTGATAGTGATGTCACTTAATGAGACCTTTCTTTTCTTTTTTCATGTGTTTCTAATACAAAAAAATGATATATAGGGACTTATTTTCATACATCGTTAGTATGTTGTGTTTAAAGGCGGAGTTAATTTGATTGAGAAAATGTGTTTTAGGATATGGTTAATCCAATTATAGGATTTGTTATTGTTTTGGATTGAGTCAAATTCAATATATTAGTCAAACGATTTATTAACTAATCTTCAATCTCGAAATTAACATAGAGAGTGCGGATGCAATTAGCATCCCTTTTTTCTATTCAATTTTTCTTTTAAATAGTCATATAAAAGTATTTTTAATGGTGCAATTCATCTAAGAGTTTCATTATTTTGCTTTGTAACCATGTAAATTTAAATCTTATTTTGTGACTATAATTCTTAAAGTCAAATCACCCATTTACTTAGGAGATTTTAGGTGTATTTTTCTGGTGGGATCTTTGTATAAGTTGGCGAGCAAAGCGGTGAGTGCAAGATTAGGGGCGGCGATGGATAATCTTATTTTTTCAAATGAAACTCTTATTTCTTGCAAGATCTAGAAAGTATTGTATCATTTTTACAGTGAATTTTGAGAAAGCATATGATTCAATTAGTTGGAATTTTCTCGATTATATGTTTACTAGATTTGATTTTAATGATAGGTGGATGCCTTGGACGAGAGCTTGCGTGTTTGTTGGGGATCTTGTTGTGTTTGTGAGTGTTTTCCCAACCCAATAGATTAATATTTAAAGGGGTCTGAAATAAGGTGATCCACTAGTTCCTTGTATGTTCCTACTTGTGGTATGATTAGTAAGAGTATAGATCTGGACCTTCTTTATGGATTTAAAGTGGAATGTTTTAATTTAGTTGTATCTCACATTTAGTATGCATATGATACTCTTATCTTGACTAACCTTTCAATTAAGAATATGTGGAGTATCAAGGCTATCCTTTAAGGGTTTCAAGCAGGCTTCTGGTCTTAATGTCAATTTTTTCAAGAGAAGTCTGATAGAGGTTAATGTGGATCCTTTTTTTTATTCAGTTGATGGATTTTTTCCATTGCAATCTTGAGTTTATTCCTTTCAAGTACCTAGGGTTGTCGTTGGGGGAAATCCTAACCTTGAAGGCACCTAAGACCATCTAGTTAATTTGTTTTCCAAGAGACTTGATTTGTGGAAGCACAAATTTGTCAGTTTGGGTTTCAAATGGTTATTCTTAACTCTATGCTTAATGGTATTCATGTATTTTTACTATCTTTTCTCAAAATGTGTGTGAAGGTTTGAAAGAAAATAGTTAGATTCAAAGAAGGTTTGCGTGGGGAGGTGTGAAAGAAAATTTTAAGATCTCTTGGGTTAAGTAGGAGGATGTTTGTAAACCTACGTGTTAAGTTGGCTTAGGGGTTAGAGATCTTTGCTTGGTTAATATATCCTTTTTTTTTCAAATGGAGGTGGAGGTTGATCTCTGAAACTAATGGCATTTGGGTTATTATTCTGGCAGCTAGATATGGTTCCCATGTTGTTTCATCTTTAAGGGTCCGTTTGGTTGGGGGTTTTGGAGGGGAGGGGAGAGGATATTTTAAAATAGGTGTGTTTGGTTCAATTTTTTATGAGGGGAGGGGAGAGGATTGGAGGTAATCAGAATCCCTCCTGTAGTACTTTTTCGTTCCCCCTCGAATTTGGGGTTTTCGGAGGGGAGGGGTGGGAGAGGAGTTATGATAACATATCTTGACAAAATTATCCTCACTTTTGTTTAATAAATTTTTTAATTGTCTTTATTAATATTATACCTTAATTTTTGTCACCTTACTATAATTCCTCCATTTGTTTAACGACAACTCCATTATTTTTATTATTATTATTCAACTTTTTTTCTCACGTGTTTTATTCTATTCATTTTTATTTAATATTTTGATTTTAATAACTTAATTAATTTATAGGTTGTTGTATTATATTAAATATCAATATATAATTGTAGTATGAGTTATATATTATGTAGAATTTAATTTTATAAATATGTTATAGGATTAAATGGATGATCAAGATGAGAAAATGGTTCATATGATCATTAATCATATAATGTGATTTTATGATGTTTATCAATATTTTATTTTCACTTAAGATATTTTAGAGTATTTTAAATGCTAAATATTTTGTGTTTGATTATCTATGTTTTTTATGAATTAACAATTTTTTTGGTGAATACTATTTTTTTAAAAATTTATTTGGCGTGAGTGTTATAATATTTTAAGGGTAAAAAGATAAATTAGTTTTAAAATCCGTCCCCTCCCCCTTTGAACCAAATATATATTTGAATAAAATTTCTCTCTTCCCTCCCCTCCCCCTCTTATGAACCAAACATACGTTTAATTAAAATACATCCCTTCACCTTCCCTCCCCTTTATTAAAATCCTTCCCCTCCCCTCTGTTGAATCAAGTGAACCCTAAGAGGTGGTAGAGCTTCACGTTCTCGGCCTATATCCTCTCAGTGGAAAGGAATGTGCCTTCTTTGATCTAAAGAGGATGACCCCTCTAATTAATTTGAAAATGATATTAATAAAAAAATGGGTTCATATCTTCTAACTTCTTTCTAGTTAAATCCTTAGGTTGAAAATATTTCTCTTTAAGGTTAGGTTTTCTAGACTTTTTACCATCACTAATCATTTGAAAGCGAAAGTGGGGAGTTAAGTCATTTGGTTAGTGGGACAATTATTTAGAGTTTTATGTAAAGGAGACCATTCTTTGAACATGGGCAATTTATGGATGGTAACTTTTACGCATTCCTTTGAGGTTTGCCTCTAAATTACAAGAAAGATAAATGGAGTTAGAATTATGCTAGAGATGGTATTTTTCGGTTGCTTATGCTTATCAAGCTTAAGTTGATCTTAGTATTTCTTCTGCTCCGCCTAATCTTCTAGTGAACTTGGCATTGCCATTTATCCGGGTTAGATTGACCCCATCTAAAGTGGTAGTATTTTCTTGGGAACTTCTACAACATAGGTTCCTCTATAGGAAGGATTTACTTAATAAGAGAGTGATTATGGATCCAAATGGAGTTTTTTTGTCCTATGTGTGAGGTTTATTTGAGTCAGCTTCTTATCTTTTTATCATTTGTAATTTAGCTTCAATTGTGTAGTACAGGTTTTTAAGTGGTTGGAGTAGCAAATGGTTCTTCCTAGTGACCCTGAGTTTATTTTTGAGTTTTATTTTTTTACCCTCAGGTGTAAGGATTAGGACTAGGGTGGGTATGTTATCATTTGGCATGCAATTTTTGGTCAATTTGGTTTGCTTAGCGAATGGTAGGAAAAAAGTACTTTTTTCACTTCGAAATGGTTTCTAGGAAAATATATGGTGAACTTAAGTTTTTCCAACGATTGGCTTCAGAACCCTATCCTTTTCCATAAGCAATAGTAGATCGAGAGTTTCAGTCTTGGTTCTAGGATTAGATAGTGGTTGTGATACCTCTCTTAGGAGTCTCTGTTCTATTGATGGTGGTACTGAAGGAGTAAGATCTTGCTTGATTCCTGTTGAGTTAAAGTTTTTAATTGTCAAGGTTTCTCTTTCTTTGTTTTGCCTTATTCTTTTAGATTTTTGGGTGCTTCGATGCATCTTGTTTTCTTTGTTTTATTGTGATCAATTTAGTAGATATTGCACTTTATGATCTCATTATTTTATACTGTATTAGGACCTTTGTTCCCATTTTTAATATATTATTTTTAATTCAAATGAGAATCTAAGATTTATTTTGTGGATCCCATTAAACCACATTATTTTGAAGTAACTCATTCAATTTTTACTTCAATTACGCAACTCTATAAAACTTATATTTGGCATGGCAATGGGACAGAACGGGGGCGGTTTTCAACATTACCAATCCCACGTCCACCTCCTAACACCCCCACCCTTACCTTTAAACCTAGTTGAGAAATACATATTTACCAACCAATCCTACCCTCAACAAGGAACATGTTTCTCCGCCCTGCCCCTCCCCTATAAACCATAATTTTTTCATGAAAAATAATCATGATGACATGTTTTCAAATCTTCGTATTTAAGTTCTTTTTAGTTTAAAAAACAACACATTCGCACCCGTGCATCCCTGTTTTTAAAAGTCGGGTTTTCTCTTCCCCCGTCCAAACCTCAGTTTAATTGAATTTTCACCATTAAATTCGGGGTGGCTTTTGTCGGATTTGATCGAGGTAAAATTTTATTGTCATGTCTACTTAAATTAGATCTCACAACTATTTTTCTTTATATTAATATTTTCTTTATATTTAATTTTTTACAATAAAATATATTAATTCAAGTATTTTAAATAATACTAATATGAATTAAAAAATTTAAAAAAAAATTGAGTTAAATATTCTTAAATGAAGATTAAAGAGATAAAATTGTCAAATTTAAATTATAGTAATTGTTTATTTGAGATTAAAATTATAAATAAAAAAAAAAGAGAAGAAATTATAGAAGAAAATTTCAAAATTAAAAAAAATGACATGTAGAAAAAAAAACTAAAGAGATGAAATTGTAAGGGAGAAACTAAAAATTTAAGAAGAGAAAAAAGAAATTGTGAAAAGTAAATTGAATGTAACATTTTAAAAAAATAGAATTTATAAGTAAAAGAATTTTTA